TATATATATATATATATATATACGCATCAATTAATTAATTATTAGCAAATGCCAATGGAGATGATTAATCGACCATATAATTCTCTTTGTGTTTGCGTTGATTAAGGTTACTTTTCTGTTGATATATAATATATATTAATATATTCTTTATAAGTTGTAGGTGTCAATATTTTATCTCTTATTTACGTCAATATATAGTATTATCGTAAAATTATGTTACTCATATATGTTTTTATAATATAGTTAAATGTAAAGTAATGTTTAAATATATGTTGTTAAATTAAATATTTATTGGTTGGACTATTAAGGTAAAACTATCAATGATTTTATTTTAATTTAATTGTTTGTCAAGGATTTTTGTTTTAAGTACAAGAGTTATCCTTTTGCAAAGGTTATGTAAAAGAAAAAAGAATCGTAGGACCCAGGACCAGGAAAAGGAATGTTCAAATAACCCGGTCGAAAAACCAAGATTGAAAAATTCAAATTCGGTTGGGTTCGATTTCTGCAGAATCGTAAAATCGCAAGTTGGATAAATTAAATCGGTTCGGTTCAACGTTAATCGAACCGACCCTTAATATAACTGAGAAAGGAAAATCCATAGGGTGGTTCCATTTGATTTCTCACGCGGCCGGTGGCCACCTGCTCTCCCTCCTTTCCATGCTGCACAGCGACCGGGAAGTTGTGTTCACCGCAATAAAGCAGCGCCTCCTCCCTGTCCCTCTACATCCAGCCACAGTAGATGCAGCACCGACAAGAATCAGCTGCTCCTCTCCTTTCTCTCAATCTCTCTCGTTTTCGTGCCGTCTTCGACGCGTCTCCTCCGCAGCGCCCCTCATCTCCGATCAACGTTCCCGCCGTGGCCGCTCATCTCCGCCGCATGCCCCCACTGTATCCAGTTGATAGGTATTTTTATAGAAATAATCAAAGAAATTCTTACATTTAGAAACCGACCCAACCCAGCCCGAAAGAACAAGGGTTGGGTTAGACGCTTCATTCGGTTTGGGTTGAATCCAATATTTTTATATTTTTGACCTATGTTTTTATAGGAGTGCCTTGAATCCAATTTTCCGAGAGGGAATTCCGATGCCTCTGGTTTTCCGTTTCAGTTACAGTCCTCCAATATTTGGCAGCTTGCTTCACTTGCAACCGGGAGATCAACCAGAATAACGTTAGGTTGTCTCTCACTCTACCGATAAGCATCATTGATTCTACAATTGAAGCTGCACATACTTTGAATAAGCAAGCCTTTCGACCCCATGCCAAAATGCTCAAAACATCATTTAAAGCTTCTGAGCATCGCACTTCGGAAGGCGCCTGGGCTTTCTTTCTATCCAGTTTCACGGAAGTTTCCAACCTTTTCGCCTTTCTTCTATTCTACATCTTTCGCGCTTCCTTCCAACCCAACTCCCCGTAGCAAACCCAAAAAGGACGACACAAACGAGCTCTCAATATCAGGTGAAATATTCAAATCCGGCCCCCAGTCGGGCTCTTATAAATTGGGGGATGCGACATTTTATAGTCTCATTGAAAACTATGCAAGTTCTGGGGAGTTTCGTTTGATAGAGCAAGTTTTGGATAGAATGAAACGTGAAGGGAGGGTCCTCGTGGAAAGGAGCTTTATCCTAATCTTCAAGGCTTGTGGGAAAGCCCATTTACCTCGAGAAGCTGTGAAATTTTTTGATAGAATGTCGAACGAGTTTCACTGCAAGCAGACTGTAAAGTCGTTCAATTCAGTACTTAACGTAATTATTCAAGAGGGAGACTTCTCATACGCATTGAAGTTTTATCTGCACGTTTTCGGTGCCAATAAGAAGAACTTTCAGCCAAACACACTCACCTATAATTTGATTATTAAGGCACTCTGTAAGTTAGGACAGATAGAGAGAGCTATTGAGACTTTCAGAGAAATGCCACTCAAGAGCTGCAATCCTGACGTTTTTACTTATAGTACATTAATGGATGGGTTGTGTAAGGAGAGGAGAATAGACGAGGCAGTGTTTCTGCTGGATGAGATGCAAATAGAAGGCTGCCTTCCAAATCCAGTGACATTTAATGTGTTGATTGATGCAATATGCAAGAATGGTGACTTGAGTCGTGCAGCAAAGCTTTTGGATAATATGTTTCTCAAAGGTTGTGTTCCAAACGAAGTGACTTATAATACCCTTATCCACGGTTTGTGCTTAAAGGGCAAGTTTGACAAAGCTCTCAGTCTTTTGGATAAAATGGTGTCGAGTAAATGTGTTCCTAATGAAGTCACTTATGGAATAATCATTAACGGTCTTGTTAAACAAGGAAGAGCTGAAGATGGAGCTCAGATTTTGGTGTCTATGGAGGAAAGAGGGCATAAAGCTAATGAGTATATTTACTCGTCCCTCATAAGTGGTTTGTTTAAGGAGGGAAAGTCTGAAGATGCTGTGAGGTTGTGGAAAGAAATGAGTGAGAAGGGATGCAAACCCAACGTTGTTGTTTATGGTGCCTTTATAGATGGTCTATGTCGAGAAGGAAAGCCGGATGAAGCCGAAGAAATTTTGGATGAGATGTTAATTAATGGTTGTTTACCAAATGCCTTCACTTACAGCACCTTAATGAATGGTTTCTTTAAGAAAGGTGACAGCCAGAAAGCAATTCTTGTGTGGAAAGAGACGATGAATCAAGATAGTAGGCACAACGAAGTTTGTTGCAGTATCCTACTTAATGGCCTGTGTGAGGATGGAAAAATAAGGGAGGCCTTGATGGTATGGAAGCACATGCTCAGCAAAGGACTTAAACCTGATGTTGTAGCTTATAGCTCAATGATTAAAGGCCTTTGTGATGCTGGCTATGTAGACCAGGGCTTGAAGCTTTTCTATGAGATGCAATGTCAGGAGCCCAAATCCCAACCAGATGTGATAACCTATAATATTATTTTCAATGCCCTTTGTAAGGAGGGTAATCTCACCCGTGCCATCGATCTTCTAAACGGTATGCTGGATAGAGGTTGTGATCCTGACCTAGCTACATGCAATATCTTTTTGAAAACTTTGAGGGAGGGGATTAATCCACCACAAGATGGAAGGATGTTTTTAGATGAGCTCGTGGTTAGGTTACTTAAGCGAGAGAGAAAATTATCTGCTTTGAAAATTATAGAGGACATGCTGCTAAGATATCTACCACCGGAGGCATCAACTTGGTCCAGAATCATTCAAAGGATATGCAAACCAAAGAAGACCCAAGAAGCCATAGACGAGTGTTGGAGAAGCCTGTATAGTGAATGAAGTATGACTCTCTCTCTCTCTCTCCTTGTTGCTTGTTTATATACTATGTCTTCACCACCTCTACATAAAAAAAAAAGAGGAAAAATATAGAAATCCAACAACAAACTACAAAGTGCCTCTGCGATAATTTGTTGATATGAATTGGAAAGCACAAGAAAGTTCCATGCATAAGACAAAATGAGTAATCAAGTTAAGACATGTTTTGTAAATATGAAGTTCAAGAAATTTGGTGTATTTGAAGAGCAACTACTATGATGAAGACTTGAAGCTTTTGTTTTTATTTATTTATTTTTTCATGAAGACTTGAAGCTTTCGTGAATTTAAGATCCTGATATCAAAATTGACACTTTTTGAGACTGAAGTTCTCTCTGCAGATGCAAAGTTTGAGTTGCAAATGCTAACTTCATTCAACTTGGGAAGTTTGCTTTAGGTTTTCTAGATGAAGTATGCCTTCAAAGCTCTTTTATGGATCCTTTGGCTCGAAAGAAACTTGAGATCTTTCGAGGATCAGGCTAAGTTTTTTTATTCTTTTTGTAATAGTGAACAAATTTCGGCCGCTTGGTGGTGCCGTAGAAATAGAAAATTCTTTTGTAACTCCAGTCTCTCCACATTATGCAAAATTGGAGAGCTCTTCTCCGGTAATTTTTCGTTTGTGAAGGGGGCTTCTTGCCCACTGTTCTTACATTGTTTGATGTTCCTTTTGTTCAATGAAAGTTTCTTATCCCAAAAAAAGATTTTCTAGATGAAGTTCTCAAGTTTATAGAATTAGAGAAATATCCTGTGTATTGAAAATACAACAGTTTTTCCTTTTTTCATCCAAAAATCGATATTTGTTCCTTATTTCATGCATGGACGCACACATATTCTTTTTCATACCAAAAGTTTGTTCCATTAAACTTTTAGTTGAAAGTTCGTATGTTCTTGTGTTATTCTGTCTGAATGTGATATTATTTTGAATAGTGATAGTAATTCCATTTCCAGTTTAGAGACTGTACTTAGCTATCCTTTGAGATGTCCAGTATATGGAGCATGATGTCTCAGAAGAACACTTTTCTGAGGCCTGAGGTGAGGTGAGGAACTCTTATCTTTTTGTTTGCATGATTTTAAAGCTTTGATGCATGTGCAGGTCTCATAAATGTCTTACGTACATGCACTATTTCAATGAAATTATCATGTTTTCCACTGAAAAAATGTTGAAAGTTCTCTTATTGTAATAGCAAAGGCTAGACAAGTTAAGATTTTAATGAGCTTATGGATTATTTTTGCAGTATGGAATTTAACTCTATGGCCTTCATTTCAGATTTACAAGAGATGTTTGTTGTGCTCTAAACACATCTTAAAAGAGTCCCTTGTATTCTTTCCCCTGTATTCAACAAAATTCAATTAATGAAGTAACTAATTGACAGTTTGTAATGTGTTCTAATTACAGAGAGCACGTATGACCATAGTTGTTATGTAATGGATATTTTTGTCATATCTCATTCTATTGTAAGCGTTATGGAAATATGTCAAATGTGTTGCTATATAATTGAAACTTGATTGTAACCAAGATGAAAGCTTTTGGTTCTTTTCCATTTAAAAAAACCAATTTCAAATAGGAACGAAGTAATGCTAACTGGAAAAATGAAGTTTTACATCTTTGAAAGGATATGATGCAACCTGTCGTTATTTAGATGGGACTTCATTAAATGAATGACCATATGCAGTATCCCTCTGCAGTTCTAAGTCACAATAGCTTTGTTTTGTCTAGTCTCTCTTTCTCACCCACCCATACATTGATGGAGCTCATGAATTTTGAGAATGGTTCGCAGCTGGAAGATTGATCACTTTATTGCATAAGGAAATGTTCCATACTTCTTATTTTTCTTCACCTTATTATGCAGGGTTGCACCATTTCTATTACAATCTTGTTGGCACAATCAGTTTTCTTGACTAGCTAGTTTGATTTCTTACATCTTGAATATTCCACTAATTATAGTGTTTGATTTTAGGTGCCTTCTTGACGTCAAATGCGCTAATGGATCATATATTTCAGTCACTTGCGTGCATATTTATTTCTTTGCACAGTAAGCACTGAAAGAAGATACTGCTGTGGCGTGGTTCAATTGTGCAAGAGCTGATGTTAAAAAATTTTGAGCCAAAGATAAATTCCATCTCGACTTAAAGGTGTTTTCTTTTGCATTTCGGCTGTGACTCAATTAAGAACATATTATATATATGGGTTGGCCAACTGGATGTATTTTATTTTTATTTTTTGTGACACGGTCTTATGTTTTTTTTTAGGCTTGCTTTGTTGATGTAGTTTAAATTTGTTTGTTTTTTTTTAATACTGCTTCTTTTTCTCAAGAAAAGAGGCTGATCGTTTAATTTCCTTTGCAGGAAATAGAAATTTCCTTTACCGCTAGAGCAGCAACACCTAGTAGAGCTATACAGTATTTCTCTTAAAAAGAATGATTCTGTGGTGGATTGTAGGAACATTCAAGGAGATTGGCATTTAGGCTTCAGAAGAGGTATCTTGGATAGAGAAATGAATTGTTGTTAAGTTTGGTGGACAAGCTGAACTCTTTTCGGACGGGACAAGGAAATGACAAGCTGGAATGGTCCCTTGACAGTGGAAAATATCTTCCACCAATTTTATGTTCTTGAGACTGTCAGAGACACAATCAAGGCTAAAAACCCCTCTGATAAATTTAATGTGGAGCTTCAAGTACCCAAAGAAGGTAAAGGTGTTTTTTGGAGTCTGGCCTACAAAAGCTTGAATGCACTCGAAAAATTACAGATAAAACTCAAGAATTGGTGCATTTCTCCCTCTGTGTGCTACCTTTGTCTCCGTAATGCAGAAAGTTTGGACCACTTCCTTTTGCACTGCCCTTATGCTTCTTAAATGCAGAAATTCTTGATGAAAGAATTTGGTTTTGTCGTTTGTCTGCCCAGATTAACGGAGGATTGGCTTCTTGAAGTTCTTCGGGGTTGGTATTTGAAAGGGGAAGCAAAAATTCTTTGGAGTTGTGGAGTCAAATCTATTTTTAGGTGCATCCGGAAACGGGCTTTTAACAATGAAGCTTGTTCTTTTGTTTTATTTTGCCAAGAGGGATTCTTTTTGTACACTTTTACATAATAAAACAAAGAAAAATAAATGCATTACAGCCTTCCAATCATGGTGTGGCCGAAAGGTGTAACTAGAATATCACTTTCCTAGAAATGGTTATCTACAGGTCCATTAGTTTGACCGAATGATGGTGTAAAACTTCTATTGTAGTTTTCTTTAGTTATATAGTTTTCCCGTTTCATATCTAGAAATAGAAAAGAGAAAAAAAGTACACACCACAACTCTTATAATTCATCAGAGCTATCTCAGCATTAAGTAAACTTTGATTGTATGACCATCGGCTGATTCTTGTGTGAAGTGGATAGTTTCAGGTGTTGTAAACTCTTGTAACTTGACAAATTTCTTTCGTTCATACCCTTTTCTTTTGTTTATACAAAGAAACCACAGCAATTGTATCAGTTTCGTGGTTCCTGTTAGACGAGCAATTGTAACTAAATATTAGGTATAATAAACATTCAAAATATAATATGATATGATAATTAATGATATTTTATTTAAAAATATTAATTTTCAAATAGAACTAGATGCACAAATAGAAAGAACATGAGGTTGTCTTCATTTTGGGAAAAGAAATCATGAATAATTACCAACTAGATGCACAAAAAGAAAGGACATAAAATCATAAATGGTTAGCAAAAAAATTTTAACTTTTCTTTTAAAATAAAATAAGAATAAAAAAAGAAATAATTATAAAATACATTTATGATTTTCTCTAAAAGAAGAAACAAAGGGTTTTTGAGTTTCATGTCCATGATCTCCAGGCCTTGCACATTTTGGCAGCAAGATACTTGGCAGCCTTAACACCGCCCACAGCCAACAGACCAGACACCGCTTGTCTTGCACTTGAAACCATTACCTTCCGCCTCAGAACCCCCTCAATGCAATCCGCTGCCTCTTTTCTCCATCGGATCGACGATTGGTCTGTGACTCCACCACCTTTTTCAACAAAAATATGTCAGCATCATTCCATGTTCCAGTGATAACAATAAATCATACCAAATCCACACGCACCACTCACACTTCTCTTCTCCCCAAGTTCTGTCCCCACCGCCCTTGCCAAAGATGAAATCAACAACTCTGTTGCTGATAATCCACAATCCTGTATAACTACAGGGTTAAATACTTCATTTTGCATGCATGCGTATTATACTGTTAAGTGTAATTAGTATGGAAAGCAAAATAGCATGATTAGTTTTTATTTAATCATAATAACATGAAAATACCAATCTTATTGGATTAAGGTTAATACAACCTTCCAAATTTCAACATACCTGAGATATATTTGATTGGTGACCTGAGAATTGCAACAACCGCTTTGCTTTGTACTCTTCAAGACAAGGTTGGTACATTGACTGGAACAACTGGAACTGCCCTCCAACTATCTTGTTGACCTACGGAAAGTGAAACGTCTCCTTGTAGCATTAGTAAACTAGTAGTAGTAAATGGTGAAATGACAAAAATCTATACTTGATCCACATATTGCTTGTGTTATATGTAAATTCGACATGAAATTTCAGCACATTTGCAGCATAATAAGAAACTGTAAGGCAAGCCCCTAAAGCAAGCCGATGCTATCAAAGCTTATATACTTTACAGGTAACTTTGCTAAAATAACCTGTCTGTGCAGGCTAACTTAGAGTTTTACCTTATCTCTGTCCTCTGCAAAAAGCATACGCAAATCACCCATATATGAAAGGCTACATATTTTGGCATACAAGTCGACCTACACAAAGTGAACTTAAGTGTAAGTTTAGGAATTACAGCGATGCTGTAAAAAAGGAAAAACAACCTCAGTAAATTCAGGTGGCAGAAGGAGGAGAGCTGCAGATACTGCAGACCTCAGATTAACAGAGTTTAGCTGTCGAACATCCAGCGTATCTACTAGTATATTAACCTGTACAATAAAATTAAAATTCCTTAGAGAGAGGAGGGAAGAAAAACCAACAGGACCATTCATTTTTGTTGCTCAAATTAAAACTATACATAGAAAGAGCTAGAGAGCATCTCTTTTCATCTCTGTACAATTAAATTTAGACAGAAAACCCCAACATAAACCGTGTTAAACCACTAGCAAACTATAGATTTTTGTCATTTCACAAACCAAACTATAGGGTTACATGCCAATGGTAAAGGAGGAGAATATCCTTTCAGGCCAACAAATTGATCACTAAAAGCAAGTGAAAGGGGAGAGGAATTGAAAAAATAATGGCCTAATATGAGAACTAAAAAGAGTCTTTTAAAACACATTTCCCAGGATTCACAAACCGGCTTTTGCAAACGGCCACTGAGGTAGAATGTCTTCCAATATAGTATGTCCTGTATCAAATCATGCATCCGGACAACCCCATACTTAAGCGTCTGTACAAATGCTCAAGAATTGATGTTGTGTAAGTATACAAAATCATATTACACGTGAAGTGGCAGATATGCATCCAATCACAGTTTATTCTATTCATATACCTTCTCATTCCACGTCACATAAGGATTGAAATGTACTCCAACACCAATTTCATCTGCAACTTCAGTAACCTATACAAATCGATCAGAGAAGTGGCCATCGGGTGCAGTGGTAGAAAGGGAATTCAGAAAAGATAAAGGAAAAGAACATTACCAGTTTTCCCCCTCCAAGGTACACCATCCATGAGGCATAGTGATCTTTGTTTAATTGAATGTTCTAGGTTGAAGGATGAATAAATAAGTTAGTAAAATAAGGCAGTACCAAATCATGTTATAATGCACACTAAAATAGTTACCTTTTCGTGCCATTTTTGAGGATCAGATACGCCAAGAATAAGGTCAACCATTTTCGACTACCAATCAAAATTTTAATCCAAAACGAAAACGTTGCAGTTACAAGTATGAAATAGTACACGCCTAAAGAAATTAGGTGAAAAGAAAAACCCAAATAAAACCTTGTAATGATTGTTTGGGTGTAGAGTCGAACCATATATGCAGCAGAACTCAACTGGAGGAAGAACTTTGAGAAAATCTATAAGCCCCGTGTCCTCCCTCTTTTTCGTGATGTCACTGTCTTCCGTCCTATACATGTTCGTGAACAAAGTCGTGACACAGGCGAGAATAGTAAGTAAGAGATACATAAAGACAAATTTGGCCGAGGAAATCTTAAATAGTAACCAAATTATACTTCGGAAGCTCCCAATAAACTCCTACTGTAACTCATCCCATATTACTTCACATGATGACTGGACAAAATTAATTGTAAAATTAAAGAGACAATAAAGGTGAGGTATATTGTATTCAGCACACCTTTCACATAGGGACGGATTGTAATGTAAAACGACCCCATATTTAGGAAATATACATATCTCACCCGAAATTTCACTTCAAAGTTCGTAGTAAATGCGCGGGTCAAACAAAGAAAGTACGTTTTCCACTACTAGGTGTAAAATAAGGCTATTTGAGTCTATGTTTATGCACAGAACCAATTTAGCACTAAGGGGAATTTCATCAAACAGTTGGAACGCTGCAGGGGGGGAAAAAAAAGAAGGGGTTTTGCAACAAGGGGTTTATCATTAAAACATTAAAAAAGAGGAACAAGAAGAGGGTGGATGTGAGTTGCAACAGTAAATGTGAACCTAAGAGATTCTTTCCGGCATAATTTGGGCAGTTCAACCATCAATGTGTTGGTGCTGGTTCATGAGAGATGGAAAGAGAAGAAGCATGAATCAGGAAGGAGAGAGTGAGAGTGGCGTACATCATGTAAATGGCCGACGGAAAGAATAGGTGGCGGTCTATCCGGCGACGGCGAGCGGTACGTTGGCGGGGACTGAGACTGAGTCGGGGCGGGCTGTTTTCGAATTGTCTTGAAACGAAAGAGACACTGTTACTTTCAAAACGGCAGAAGTCGATGAAATTACCAAAAAATAAGACCAATTTACTTTTGGTAGCACTTTTTAGTCGTTTACACCGTTAGAAATTTTTAGAGGTTAAATCCAACTGATTGTCCTTCTATAAAATTTTCCCCATCTGACTGTAGCTCAACTAGTCAATTATGATAAAAAATGTGTTGAGTTTGAATCTCTATTTCCATAAGTTTTATTAAAAAAAAAAAAAAGAAAAACGACGGTGATGCCCAACTCCAATGAACTCTTTAAGACGTTTTTTCCGGTGACTTAAATTGAACACTGTTTTTATTCTTCTTCGGTAAGTCAGCTCTTTTCTTCACTCTCCACTTTAATTTTCTTCTTCTTGACGTTTTCATCTTTGTAGCTTTATTTTTTTATGAGAAGTTGTGGGATAAATAACAGAATGTAAAATAGTGATTGTTGTATTTTTTTTTCCTTTTAATCTGACCTTGTTTGCTTTAGTTGAAATCATTTGGAACATCCCTTTGCTATTAAAGTGCCTTTGAACTTTGTTTTTGTGGTCGGTAGCTTGATTTTAACATTGTGAGAAGTTGCGTAAGAAAACAGTGTAAAATGGGAATTTATCTTGCTTTTATTATTATTATTATTTATTGATTTTTTTTTTTTACTTTTGATCTAATTATGAAGTCATTTGGAACATTTCTTTGCTATTGAGGTTACTTTGAACTTGTATTTTAATGGTTAGTAGCTAGATTTTGGTCTTGCTAGAAGTTGTGAGAGAAGCAGAATGTATAATGGAGAAGGTTCACATTCAGTGTAGTAAAATCCTAACATGTAAATTAACATTACAAAAAGAAAAAAGGGGGTTTCATGCCTGTTTTTCCTTTTATAACAAATGAATTTGGAGTTACAAGTCAGTTATTCTGAAGCCAGTGTTGAGCAGCCACAAGATCAGGAAGCACCACTGCCCCAGATTTCCTCCATTCCTCAGCATCTGCTGTCTTGAATCTATCCAATAACAGAGCATGCATTCCCACACTCTTTGCAGGAACATAATCTTTGCGCAAGCTGTCTCCAATGTGGAGAGCTTCTTCTGGTTCTATGTTTCCAGCCCTCTCAAGAGCGATCTTATATATTCTAGGATCTGGCTTCTCTACACCCTCCAGACCGGAGAACACACCAAAGTCCCATTCCGATCCCTGAACAATCAATAGGCATGATACTGTCATCAAATCTTGACCAAGAATCCAGGAAAAACACTCTTCAACAGAACAGAAAACCCCACTTCTAAGCATTGATTTAATAGACTAATGTCAGAGGATCAAATTTTGAATGATGCCAAAGACTAATAGCAATTTGCATAGATATGTATCCTACACCATCACTCTGTCTTTCGAATGCAACTTGCTTTTCGATCTGCAAGTAAAATGGTCTAGGACCAAAATCTAGATACACAGTATTAAGAAAACAATTATTTCATTACCTGGTTCAAGCCTAAAGCTGGAAGGATCACATCCTGGTAGCGGTACTCTGCATTACTCACAATGCCAACCATAAGACCTTGATCACGCACCCATCTCAGAAATGGCTGTGAATCTGGGAACACCTTGTAAGGGGCAGATGAACCAAAAGATGCATATATACGTCTAAACACCTTCTCGAAAGTCTCCTCATCATAATCATACCCAGCCTATCAGTAAAACAAGAATTTCACGTCATAACATGCCCAATAGATGTGGAAATTTTCATCTAAGCTAAAGTTTTTCAATTCTGAGCTAGCACTTGATGTTTCTTTCTCCCATTCCACATATAAAACAGGTTGGACTCAGAGTGGCTGTGCCTTCGAGAGAGAATACGGACAGAAAATTCTAACAAATGCAATTGTCATAAATCTAAACTATTAACTACAAGGTATGCAGCATCGACATTGATGAGTATATATTAATCTACGTCACTGCAATTATGCCATACCCATCCATATATCTAGAAAGCTATATTGATTTCTTACCCTGATAAAGGAATCTCTGACGCAAGTTTTCCACCAAACGATGTTGGGCATTTTTGCTGCATGTCCAAAGCATGGATAATTTGTTGCCATCTCCTTGTAAGCAAGTTTAAAGCCCTCATGCACACGTTTGTAATCGGGACATGGCAGCCCCACGGATTTAGCTGCCATGCAATAGTAATCACCCAACTCCCCTTTGTAAGCCATCAATGTACCAGTAACATCTATAGTGATACAGCGCAACTTTGACAAGAGCGACATTTTAATGAGGAAAACGTTACAGTCCCAAAGTGAGTGATATCAACAATTGCAGCTAAGGGAATTCTATCTGAAAGCACCCAGCTGCCAGATATCAGCCAAGAGTCCTGCATTTATGCGCAAGAATATCTTACGTTACCAATACACAACAGCTATTCAAGCAGATAAAAAGCAACATGTCCTGTGGACAGTTCAACTTCGGTGCTGAAATACAAAGCAAATGTCATTTCCCCATAATTCCATAAATACCGAATACTCTGACCTTTTTTTATGTTATTTTATAATTTACACCTTTTGGTTCACGTGGCATGTTTACTAAGATCATGATTGATTCTAATAGCAAAAATGCATGCGAAAAACTCAAGTGACGAGAAACAATGAAAGAAGATAATTTGACTAAGTAGGAAAAGAAAGAGGCAATATTATATATCTAGGCTGAAGTCTAAATGTAAATATTCATCTCTAAGACAGTTTTCAATTTCGTTCCTTTTTTTTTAAGGAAAAGAAAAAACTTCTAATTTGATCCCTACTACATCAATGTATCCAGTCCAAAAAAAAGTTAAAGCATCCATTTGACTACTTTTCATCTTTTACCAACCATCACTTGATCAAAGAAAAATAAGAAAAGGTGGGGAGAGCTCGAGACAGTGAAAGAGACTAAATGAGAGAGAGATACAGAGAGGCAGTGAGAGAGGTCAAGGGAGAAGGGCTGAGTGAGTGAAGGAGACCGAGTGATTTTGAGAGATCGAGAGAGTAAAAGAGAGAAATGGGAGGTGAGAGTTTAATTGATGGAAGGAGGGAGATAAGTTTTTGGTAGTGAAGCAAATTTCAAAAATTTGGGAGATTCGTACATGTATATATATAATTTTTTTCGAACAAGCCAAAGATAAACTTGAGAACAGAAACCATCTTATTTTTCAACTCACATCAAGGATTTAATTGAAATATATTGATACATTAAAAGATAAATTTAAAAATATTAAAAAGAATTGAAAATCACATAAGAGACTTTAGCTAAAAATATCAACGCCAAGTTTGCCAACACACTAGCAGACACAGTAAAGACCAAAATAAAATAAATTAGAAAGTTGGCCGCTGTTAAGGAAATTCTGTAAAGAATATCTTTCTAATAAGCAAAGAATGATCTGAAGATAATAAAGTGCCGAAAAGATCTTCAACATCAAATAAATTAATATCCATCTTGTGATTCTTTTTCTTTTTCAGGGAGATATCAGGAAAGAAAGTACAATACCAAAGCATTCACTTGCATGAACACAGTGTACATAGGTTACTTTTAATCAATGAAAATTTGAGGTCACGTACAGAGCAACTAACAGAATCAAGTACTAACTATGAGCATTCCCAAAATATTTAAAGAAGCAGAGCATTAAAGACGCATGAAATAATCTTCTTCACTGACTAATAGATCCTCACGAAAAAGTTTGATTCTTTTTTAAGAATACCAAAGAAGCAAACATCTACGTCAGATCAGTGAAAATAGCAACTATGAGTTGGCAGCTACCCAGAAATTGGAAGATAAAAATATTGCAGCGATCGGATATAAAAGTATCTTCAGAAACTACTAGAGCAGAGAAAAAGGAAGTAGGAAAATAAATAAAAATTTATAATATCACGGGCTCCGTTTTGACTTGTTTCAGACACTCGTACCGTTACAACAGCAATAGGGAACAAAAACAAAGGAACCAAGCGACAATGTTGCATGGTTCACTCAGCTGATTACCGGCAACGGTGAAATATTACCAGTAGAGGGAGAAACAAACAACTTTAATTCAGTCTATAATATGAAGAAAAAAAGTTCAGATCATGGCGGAGAATGTCAACGTGCAGCTCAATTAGCTAACACTCGTAACAAACAACAGAGCTACAAGGACTCGGAGAGAGACGTGAATGAATAAGACGATGCAGAAACATACCAGAAGCCAAAAGGGATGAAATTTTTGAAATGGTTGGCGTGAATCACAAGGTCATCAGAAGCCAAAAGCTTGAGGAGGAGGATCGTTGAAGTAATGATGGAGAAGGGAAGGCGAGAGAGAAATATATAGTGGATTTTCATAGGACGGAGGGATCTTGATTGTGATTTTGTATAGCTTCCGACCGAAGTTTGAGAAAACCAATGGGTGGACTCAAATATACAGGTTCCTCTGTGTTCGCCATTTCCGTTTCTTCCCCCTTCCCTTCCTCTTCAGTAATTACCAATCCCACCCATTTAACCTAACAATCAAAATGTGGTATTAACTATTAATTAATCTGGAGTCCAAAATTAATTCATTGCAATTGGAAGTTCGAGTTCTTGAATTTTCCATCAAATAAGTAAAAACAAAAATAGACCTAGTTGGATCGGTTAATGCGTATATACCCCATGTTGTTAAA